CAATATGCGTTTTTGCTGCCTGTTGCAGCGCTCTAGCGCTGCACGGCAAAAACGCATAAAAACGGTGGCGAGGCTCTGAGGACCCCAAGCTCCCCAGAAGTCATGTTTTAAATAGAAAAAGCATTAGTTTGAAACAACAGTTTTTTCTGCTGGCATGTGATGCTTGTGTATGTAATTCATTTGCTTAGAGCACTAAACAATACTATTTAGACAGATAGACAGCAGCTGGGGCTAATATCTTTTATTTATGCGTTATTTGCAGATTGCGCACTACTTGGACTATGCAGAAGGATTGGCTGACCAGTTGGTGTGCAGTTTTCCGAATGCAGTTGAAGATCTGTTCGAAATTGTGGCAACCAGTGAAACCGCAGTACCGGATGTGAATCTTATTTCACTGGAAAAGTAAGGATTTTTCTGTTTTCTGTAGGATTTTTTATAATTAAGACATTCTATGGTTGTAGAAGTTGTAATTTTGCATGAAATTCAATGCGGGTTCGATTGCGAAGCGTGGGAGTAGTTCCAAAGAAATTATGTTTTCGTAGCAAAAAATGAACTTGATATGCTCTTTAGATTTTTGTTAAACGAAATGAACTGCTGTGAGCATAATAGGGAAAGACAGGATTGGGATCCGACTGATTGACACTGTAAGCCGAAGATGTTGATTGTCGTCTGCGTGGCATTGAAAGTTAACAAAATTGAGTTTAATTTCAAACAGTGTTCGCAAAAATAAAAGAACATGTGCTTAGCAAAGCTGAAATTTTGGAGGAATGTTCACTACTCATGTTCGACCAAAATATTTCCACTTCTGCTCCTTAGATCCGCCCGGACTCATATACGGGCACGTGAAAGTTTTGGCGAGGAAACTGCTAATTCGAGAGCGAGAAAAGCTGGAATTTTAAGGAAATCTACCCTGCCCATGTGCGAATGAAAGATTTCAAATTTATCAAATTTTTGATAAATTTTTTGATAAATTGATAAATTTTTGATAAATTGATAAATCAAATAAATTTGATAAATTTTCGATAAATTTATCAAATTGATCAAAGATTTCAAATAAAAATTTCAAATTTCAAATAAAATCAGAAAAAAAATCAAACCCAAAGATTTTTTTGCGCACTAGCAACTTTCCATTTGCCGGGTCACTGAAGCCGAAATCAGCAACTGACATGCAACGACGTAGCCAGCGGGTGTTCTGCTTGGAATGCTCCTTCCGTTTAAAAGTTGGATATGCCA